GGGTATAAAAATTAATAAATAATTTATTTTTTATAATTTTTAAAAAAAAAGATTAAAAATTTTGAAATTGAAAATAAAAACAATCACAATATTATTTTAAAAAATAATATAGCGATGTATTTGAACAATTATTGATTGTATTTTTTTTTTTTGGTATATATTGAATTATTTTATTATTTTATAATTTATAGTTTATCTAAATATATTGTTTATAAAAATAAAATATTTAAAATTAAATTCTTGTTGAATTTATAAAAATGTTGATTAATTGTTTTTTAATTTTATAAAAAAAAATAATTAAAAATTAAAATTAATATTTTAATTATAATAATTGATTTATTTTAGTTTGAATACAACTTTTTTGAAAAAGTGTGAGAGCTTTTTTAAAATGAATAAATATTATTATTTATTTTGTGTGTGTGTATGTGTGTGTTTGGGTGTGAATTTAAATAAAAAGATATTGGAATAAAGTTGTGTAATTATAAAATAAGGAAAAAAATAAAAAAAACTATTTTAAATTTAAAAAATAAAAAAAAAAATAAAAAAAAAAAAAAATCAATTTAATAAATCTTGGGTACACATTGTTTATTATTTTTAGAAACAAAAAAAGAGAGGATAAAAATAGGATTGAATTTTTTTTTTTTTTTTTTTTTTATGATTTTTACAAAAACATAAAAGCATTGTGTTGTTTTAAAAAAAAAAAAATTTTAATATTGGTGTGTGTTTTTTAAAATAAATCTGAAATTAAAATGATTTTATAAAAATTAATTCAATATAAAAAATTTTGTGTGCTTGTGACACTTGTTCATATCTTCGAAGCAATCAATAAAAATTTTTTGGGAGAGGGGGGTTTTTTTTTAAGTTTCGCCAAATTGATTTTTTTTTTTTTATTAAAAATTTTACAAAACATAAAAAATTCCCCATTATATAATTAGTTATAACTAACTTCTTCACAGTATTAATTATTTATTGATTTTGGGCAAGAGAACATTATGTATTTTATATTTTTAGGCTCTTTTTTTATTTTTAACAATTTATTTTTTTCCGTAATAATATAAAACCAACGAAGATATAAAAAAAAAAAATAAAAAATAATACATATAAAATTATATTTTTAGTTGTTATTTTTAGTTTACATATAAATTAATACATTACATAAAAAATAATAATAAATCAATAAAACTAGATAAATGTTTATCTCAACTCTTTTTATTAATCAATAGATGATTTTTTTTTTTTTTTTTCAACCATTTGAAAAAACAAACTTTTTTTTTATTTTTTTATTTTTTTTTTTTTTCTTTGGTTGATAGGAGGAGTGTATAAAATATAATCAATTGATTTTAATTTTTCATGATTGAGTTGCACAATATAATAGGTTATTTCCCAAAATGGAAAAAGATATTTATTTTTCCAAATTGGGAACGTTAGCTTTGTAATCAAAGAGGCACCCTAAGATTAAAATTAAAAAAAAAAAAAAAATTCTCAAAATTGTAGAAATTGATAATTTAATTTTTTTTTTTTTTTTTTTCAATCATAATATTCAAATAAAATAAAATATAATGAAAACTATTTTGGTAAATTTTTAAAAAAATCGAAAAATTTAAAAATAAATTTATGATGCCTTCAACGAAATTATTATAATTATATAATATTCCTTTTTAATAAATTATTTAATAAATAGTGGAGTGATTAGAAAAGTAAACACATCGTTTAAAATTCTTACAATCAAATTCACAAAGCTAATTAAAAAATATTTTTATAATAATTGATTTCTTATATTGAAAAAAAAAAAAAATTTCAATTTTTTAAAAAACTATATATCACTATAATGATTATTTTGAAAAGTTTTAAAAAAACATGCCTTATTTATTAAATGTGAATCTTCATTTTTTAAAAATATATTGTGTAAATATTTATACTTTTTTTTCTCCTCTCTTCACACATTTTAAATCGATTTCAATAATTGAAGGTTATAATTTTGTGGTGGTTGAACATGTGTGTGTGTATATCTAAAATTATTAATCATTCTGTTTTTTTTTTTCAATAAATTTAATTTTTTTATATTTTACATTTATAAAAATACATATAAATTTAGGGAGGGGTATTTTTTATTATTTTTGAAAATTCATAGAGTTTTTGTATTGTATATAATTCCACTTTGTTTTTTCAAATAAATATATTAATAACTTTTATTTGAATTTTAAAAACTGCTTGTTATTATATTATTTTTAATATTACTTTGAACAAATTCAATAAAAATTATATATATCAACAACCTTGTCAATTAAAAGAGTTGACAATATATATTTTAATTATATTTAGGATAATTAACAAATCTAAACTCAAAAGTTGTTTAAATATTTAAAAGCTCAAGTTTTTATAATAATTTATATAAATATATTTTTTTAATAATTTTATTTAAATTTTTTTTATAATTTTTTTTTTTTTTTTTTTATAAATATAAAAAATTAATTTTTTTTAAATCTATATTTTATTTTATAAATCAGATTTGATTCTATTTTTAACACCAATTTAAAATAAAATTCAAAAAAAAATTTACCCCCCCACCACACAAATCTATTTACAAATATTTTATTTTTTAATTTTTTTTTTTTTTTTATTTTTTTTTTTGTTTAAAATTCTATAAATACAAATTTACATTGGTTTATTATTAATATATAGTAAATAGTGATTTGCTAATTTCAGCCCTCTATTCCACATTATTATTTTATTTTTAGGAGTCATTATTGTTGGTGATTGTATCTGAATCGTTACTTGTAGTGATACTATTTAAAACATTTTCTTCTTTTACTTGTTTAACTTCTAATACCACAGAAACGGTTTGTGATAATGTTTCATTAATAGCTTCCCCTTCTTCCTGCTCTTTATTTGGCTCTAATGGTAAGAGGTTATCTTTAGCTTGATTTGCCTCTTCACTTAGTTTAGCATCGTGACCGTCTTCATTTTTAATTTCACTTTCTAGAGGCTTTTCAAAAGTTGTAGAAACACTTTCATCAACATGGGCTTCATTTTTATCGGTAGTACTAATATTAGCTTCGGGAATTACTTCACTATTTTTAGATTCATTATTTTCTTCCATTTCATTTTCTTTTATTGTGGTTGCTGTTGTAGATATTGATTCATTAGTTTCAATATTTGTAATTATTTCATTAACTGTTATTTCTTTATTTATGGTTTCATTATTTGTAGCTTCATTATTTGTGTTTTCATTATTTGTGGTTTGATTATTATTATTATTATCATCAGTAGTTGTTTCATTATTATTTATTTCGCTGATTGTGCTATTTGATTCGATATTGTTGTTTACACTGGTACTATTATTATCAGTTTTGATTTCATCTTTATTTGTTGTTGTTGTTGTTGCTATAGTGGCGATATCAGATCTAATACTTTCCATACTAACTTGTTTCTTTAGCTCTATTCCTCTGTTTAATAAATTGTTGTGGTAACTAATATCATTTCTAGATTCGCTAAATTCTTTTTCTTTATTAATTTTAAACTTTGCATTTTTACATTTATTAATTTTTTTAGATTTATAAATGTAATATGCTAAACCAGCGCCAACAATACATGATATGTATACCATTCTCCATTTTGTTTTGTGAATACTCTTTTTAAAAGAAAACTTTTGGCCATTCATTACATCGATATTGTTTCTATATAAATGTCTATGGTTTTGCTATTATAAAAAAAATTAAAAAAAGTAAAAATTAAAATATAAAAAAAAAATTAATTAGTATTTTTAAATTTAATTATCAATTATCAATTATTAATTATTTACTTACTCCTTTTGTAATATTAGGTAATACAATTTTATAGTCGTCATTACCAACAGTAAAACTTGTTACATAGTCTTTAACAGAGTGTTGAAATGGGCCATATCCGTTAACAAAGATACTGGATTCCAAAGATTTCTCTTTGGGTATCAAATTAAATTCAATTTCTAAATTATCAGTTTCAAAATTCCAAATTGTAGTTCCACCAATATTTTTTTTAATTATCATTTTATAATTATAATTATTTGTATCTATTTATTTTTTTTAATAAGATTTATCAATCAAAAAAAAAAAAAAAATTATAATAGTAATGATTAAAAAAAAAATATAAGGTAAAAAAATAAAAAATAAAAAATAAAAAAAAAAATAAAAAAAATAATAGAAATATTTCTCTTTAGTTTCGTTTTTTTTCTCTTTATAATAAATCACCCAAATCTTTTGGTTAAAGGACGAAGTTTTTTAAGATATTTTATTAAAAAACATTTATTATATATTTAATCAATCATTTTTTTCATTGGTAATTATGAAAAATGATAATAAAATAAAAAAAATAATTTAAAAAAATAAAAAAAATAATTTAAAAAAATAGTGTTTGAAAAAAAAAATCTTGATGATTGATTGTTTTTTTTTTAATTATTTTTTTTTTTTAATTGTTTTTTTTTTTTTTTTTAGTAGATTTTTACAATGATTAATTTGATTTAATTTAATTAAAATTATAAAAAAGTAAAAACCAAATATTTTAAACTGTTTGTCTCTTTTCATCATTACTAAAATTTAAAATTAATTTCACACGCACAAAAAATAAAAAATAAAATCCAAATTTATTAAAAACACTGATTTTTTTATGGAGAGAAAGGTAGTTTATTTATTTTTATAGTTTAAATAAAAGGCTGACACACAATCTATTTTGTTTGAAAGTGAAAAGGCACAGATTTCATTAGTTTTTCTTTGTATCATATTATAGGCAGAATTTTTTGTAACTCTTGGTTGGATTGATATTCCGAGAACTCTATCTATACTATCAATAAGAATTTTAGCAAATTTATTACCAAAAACTTTAGATAGGATGTCAATAACGTAATCTCTTTTTAATATTTTGCATTTTAAAAAAATGATTATTGTATTAACATATTTTTTTAATTCGTACGAAAAATTATTTATGGTTAACAATGATTGAGTTATTGAAAAATTATTATTATTATAATTGTTATTATGGGCTTTTACTAAACATTCATAATAATAAATTGTATCATTGAAAAGTAACAATTTTTGGTGGCTAAGATGGGGAATATAGTGTTTTGAATTGTCTAAAAGGTTCTTTACTTGTGAAAAATATCTTTCTTTATTCAATATCATATTGGTTCTTCTGATTTTATTTAAATACTAAAATATTTTCAGTTAGTTTTTTAAAAAAAAAAAAAAAAAAAAAAGATTATTACCTTAATATTTTTTAAAAAAATAGTATATTTGTTGGAATCCATTGTATGTTTATATTGTTTTTGTTTTTTTTATTTGATAAAACTTTTTAAATGATAATAAAAAAAAAAATTTGGTTTTTGTTTTTTTTTTTTTGTGATTCTGCAAATCTAAAAAAGTTATATGTCAGTTCCAAAAAAAATTAACATAAAATTATAAAAAATTATAAAAAAAAAATAAAAAAAAAATTAATTTGCAAAATAGATTTATAGGAAAAAAAAAAGTAGCCAGATACATTTTTCATAAAATATATATTTTTTTAATTTTAAATTTTATTAATATTTATAATAAAGGATAAAGAAAAAAAAAAGAGATTAAAAATTAATAATAAAAATTGTATTAATTTTTTTTTATCTTATCTGGTGACAGCGTATGATCTAACAGTTTTGAGGAGGGCAGCAGCTTCTGGATTATTGGCGAAATGATCACGAACTGGTTGTAACATAGCATTGATAGCTTTGGCGATGACTGGTTTAAGTTCAGATGGATGGATCTTTTCAGCTTTGTAGTCATCTTCTAATTGTTGGTATGAGGTATAAACAACTTCACCTTGATCTTTAATGTTGATGGTGAGAGATTCGACTTTTTGGAAAACGATATGTTTGGTGTAGTCGAGGATTGGATTCTTTTCAATGATACCTGGTGGACAGTAGGCTTTTTTAATTTTAGTGTTGACATCAGCTTCAGTATCTTCCATAAAGATGGCAGATTCTGGATCTGATTTTGACATTTTTTCTTGACCTTCTTTGAGACCACTTAACATATGATGTGAAACGATGATTGGCTTGTTCTTGATTTTAACTTTATCGCAATATTCAATGGCTAACATATTAACTTTTCTTTGATCCATACCTAATTGACAAATATCAGCTTTTAAGTAAAAGATATCAGCACATTGCATACATGGGTATAATAATTGAGCACACATTAAATCATCTTCTTCATTTCTACCCATAATTTGTGAGCATTTCTTGATACGTGGAACATTGAATTTACGAGCAATATCCATAACTCTTAACCAATAATCATTTGGATTTTTATTAATTTCGTCTGATGACCATAAAAACTCAACATTTTCCATATCCATACCAGTAGCCTTCCAAATCTAAAAATAAAATAAAATAAAAAATAATTAATATAAATAATAATACGGTTATATTATTATATTTATATACATACTTCAATCATGTATTGACCAACTTTTCTGATTTTATTTAAATCACCATTCATTTTATTGTTTAACATGGCGAACCAATCAGCAACCCAAAAGATAAAGGTACAACCAGCTTTGGTCATACGATTAACATTGATTGATTTTAAGATACCTTGAGCAATGTGCATTCTGCCAGATGGTTCAAAACCATCATAACATCTTAATCTTTCTTTACCATTTAACAATCTAATTAAACTTTCTTCGCTGATAATTTCTTCACCAACTTGTTTAATTAATTCTAATCTTTCTTTATTTTTTTCACTTAATTCACTATATTTTGATTTTGTAAAAGTTAGTATTTAATTATATTTTTCTATTTTTGTTTGATTATTTATATGTTTGCTATTTGACTGTTTGATTGTTTGACTGTTTGATTATTTGATTGTTTGATTATTTGATTATTTATTTGTTTTTTAAATTTCGATGTTGTTTTTTATTTTATTTTTTTATTTTCATTGCAACGAAAACTATAATACATACATGGCTGGTTTAGCTGGAGCAGCAGCTGGAGTAGCTACTGGTTTATCTTCAACCTTTAAGTTTTCTAAACTTTTTTCAACACCAGTTTCAGTTGACATTTTATATATAAAGATTTCTTTTTTAAAATGAAAATAAAATAAAAAAAAATGATAATTTCGAAAATTTATAAAAAAAAAAAAAAAAAAAAATTTTAATTTTTAAAAAAAAATTTAAAAAAAAATAATATTTTTTTTGCAACAAACACATAAATTTATCAGAATAAACATAAAATATATATAAATATAAAACCAAAATAAAATATAAAATGAAAATATAAAATAAAATATAAATTATTTAAAGATTTAATAAATAATTATCATATTTTTCTCGAAAATAAAAAAGTAAAAAAATAAAATAAAAAAATAAAAAAAAAAAATAAAAAAAAAAAAGAAAAATTTCTATAATTAGATAATATGTGTTAAATTATTATACACCCCCTTTATATAAATAATAGTAATAATTCAATAAGATTGATATTAAATGATAGAGAAGTATATCTATGAAGTTACCTGTAGATATCGAAGGTATGGATGATCATGTAATAAAGAAAAAAAAAATGGTCAATAATATAATGGTAATTAAATTATATCACATCATCACTATCACAAATTAAATAAAAAAAAAAATAAAAAATAAATACATTAAATAAAGAGTATCCTTTTTATACCCACACCCACAAAAAAATTATAATGATAAAATTAACTTTTTTTAAATCTGGACTGCACAGCTTCACAATACCAATTTCAACAGTTGTAATTGTTGGTTTTTTTTTTTTTTTTTAAAAATAAATTTATTTTTAATTTTTTTTATTATTTAACCTTAAAAATATAAATAAAAAATTAATTTTTACAGCTCATAATAATAACTTATAATATTATTAATAGTTATAGTAATAAAATGAATAAATTCTTTATTGTTTTAATTATCTTTATTTTTTTAAATAGTATTTCAAATGCTTTGGAATTTAGAAAATTGGTTTACACTAAAGAAAGTTGTATAGGTGATCCTCAAGTTGTATACTCCGGCTCTGAATGCTCTCCATTGGGATTTGTAAATTTTTTTAATGAAACATTGGTTTCTGTTGGACCAGCTACAGAATCCTCTTGTAAAAATGCCGGAAAGAATGAAACAATGGCCACTGTTTCTCCATCAAAGAACTATCCATTAAACAAGTGTGTACGTGGCGGCAATGGTAACCATTTTTACTATATTTCTTCTGTAAAGGGTAACCCAGTTTCCATCAAAGGCTATTGCACAACATATACCTACTTTGGCGAGGATTGCGATGGTGTTTTAGTATACTCGTTCCAAAACGGCACTTGTGTTAACAGTACTAAAGAATCCCAGTTTAGAAAATTAGTATGCACCGGTAAAGAGACCTTGATTTATGACTGTGGATCTGATTCCCAATGTGGCTCAAGTAGTTGTTATCTTTCAACTACTGACTCTGGTAAAATAGGTGAAAACACTTGTAACATCAAAGAAATACCAATTGCTGATGCTGAATATGCCAATTTCTCTGCAAAATTATCGTATTCACCAATTGTTAATTTATTATCTTCTTTATTTGTTATTTTTTCATTTTTTTATTTATAATAAACAATAAATAAACTAATAGATATTTAACATAATAATAAAAATAATTATATTATAGATTAAAATTTTTATATTTTATTGAATATACTATTTTTATCACCAAGTATACTTAAAATACATACACACATACATATATAAATATAAAATAGCAAGATTTATAACCCTCCTATAAAAAATTACTATTTATTATAAAGAGCAATAAATATTTCTATAACATATTTGTATATTTAAAAAAGCAATATTGTTTAATTAATTAAAATCAATTAATTTAAAATAAAATGATGCCGTTATTTTTGTAAATTAGGATCAAATAATTTAATATATATTTGAATTTTTTTAAAAATTAATGGAGATGAATTACAATAATGCTATTATTTTTGATATTGTTATTAAAGTATTTATCCATAAAGATATGTTGGAGGTATATATAGAATATAATTTATTATAATCTAAAAAAGTATAAAAAATTGAAATAGGGGTAAATATAATATTGCTATATATTTTTAAATTTATTTAATTAAATTATATTTTTATGAAAGGGGTGAACCCCCTTTTTTTTTTAATTTTTTTTTTTTTTATCAAAAATTTTATTAAAATTCTTTTTTTTTTTAATTTAATCTTTATTTTTCTTACAATGATGTTATTTATCATGATAACACAGTAATAACCACACTATTAACAGTCTCAAAACACAACAACAAACAATACATAGGGTAATTGCATACCCTTTTTCCTTTTCTTTTTTCTTTTTTTTCCCTAATTGATATTGTGTTTTATATGTATATCATAAATTAATCACTTAATAATTTAATTTTTAATTAATTTTTTTTTTTTTCAAAGCAATATTGCACAAATACATACAAACAAATTCACACACACACACACATACACACATATATAAAACTATTAATTTAAATAAATAATGTATACTCCTACTTTATTCACCCTATTTTAGTTATTGTTTTTTTTTTTTATTTTTTTTTTGTTTTATTTAATGAATTTTTTTTTTTTATTAATTTAATTATTAATTTTTTTATTTGTCACAATTTTTTTATATTTTAAATTAACCATTAATTTTGCAAATCAATTTTAAACATAAACATAATAAATAATTGTTATTTTTTAAATTGCTTAATACTAATAATATTAAAAATAAAATTAAAAATTAAATAATCAAAATAATCAAAATAATTTAAAATAAAATTAATCTTTTAAATAAATGTTAAATCTTATCACTAAATAACAAATAAAATAAAAAATAAAATAATAATAAAAAATAAAATATTTTTAAAATCAAATAAACTGATAAACCAAATAGAATAATAATAATAGTAATAATAAAAATAATAATAAAAAAAAGACAATTTTTTTTATAATTATTATTTTTATTTTTTTTTTTTTCAATAAAAACTTTTAAAAAATAATAACTACCTAAATATTGTGTTTTATAAGAAACAAAATAAAAAATGAAATTATATTTATTACTTATAATAATAGTTTTTAATTTAATTTTAAATTGTAAAGGTTACGAAATAAAATTAACACTATATAATAATGCCAAAAAAAACTGTACAGATTTCAATTCTTCAAATATGGTTGTTTCGTTTAGTAGCACAAAGTGCGGAGATTTAGGCTTGATAGAAGAAACCAACCTCGAAGGAACTAAAGGAAAAATATATTATTCAATTGACCTGACAAGTAAAAAGGCATGTCAAGATGCCGATGCAACAGAAATGATCCAAGTAGATGAATTTGACGTAAATGAACAATGTAAATATACCTCAACCAGCTACTATCATAAATTTTCAGTCAATCGAAATGCAAAACCCAAAGTAGAATTGGGAATGTGTAATGCAATAACCATTTTTGACAACGATTGTGACTACATAAAAATAAGATCTTTCCACAACAATTCATGTTTCTTAGAAAACCTTGGTGAATATAGAAAATACTTTTGTATTGGTGACAAATATTTCACTTACTCTTGCGGACCAGATAGAACATGTTCAAATTGTAAAGAAGTCATTGTTGACGAAAGATATGCCAATAACACTCAATGCACCGGGTTGGATCCAAATTCCTTTGAATACCAAGATTATTTAAATTATTATTACCCAAAACCCACAGAAACACCAGAAACAACAGAAGCACCAGAAACACCAGAAAAACCACAAAGTCCAGAAGAAAATGAATTTTCTAATTTAAATAACTCTTTTAGATTATCTTTAAATTTGTTTTTAATTTTATTTAATATTTATATCATTTTAATATAAAAATAAAAAAATAAAAAAAAAATTATTTTTGTAAATAAATTATATATAAAATATTTTTTTAATTTTTTTTTTAAAACTTTGAAATAAATCAATCGATCGAAATAGATTTTTTGTTTTTAAAAATGTGATTAATTAAAATAAAAAAAAGAAAAAAAAAAAAAGTTATTTTTATTTTTAATTTTTTTAATTTTTTTTAATTTTTTTCGGTTTATAAACTTTTTAAAATTTTTTTAAAATTTTTTTATTTCAAAATATTATATTGTATTTTAAATTTAAAATAATATAATGATATCATCTGTTGCAAATTGGATCAGTTGTAGTACCAATGCAATGGATCGTTGGATATTCGGAGAGGGTGAAGATGAATCAACTTCATCAAGTAGTAACGAATCATATGATGAAAATGATGAATCAACATCTTCATCATCATCTAGCGACAGTGAAGATGGAAAGAGGAATTCAATTTTAGAAGTATCATCAAATAGTAATGAGGATGGTTTAGTTTATTCCTGGGGTTATAATTATTTTGGTCAATGTGGTAATGGAGGCAATCAAACTATTATAGTACCATCACCTGTTCAATTTTCAATAGATATTAAAATTTCAATTAAAACTATAGCATGTGGTGATAGTCATACTTTAGCCATAGCCGAAAATCCATATGGGCTATATAGTTGGTAAGATATATAAATTTTATAAAAAAAAAAAAAAAAGATTAATAAATTAACTTTTATTATTATTATTATAAAGGGGCTGTAATAGATGGGGTCAACTAGGTTTAGGTGATCAAATTAATAGAAATCAACCAACAAGAATTAATCATAGTGATCGTGCAACATTTGTAGCTATAGCATGTGGTAGTCAACATAGTATGATAGTATCAAATTTTGGTGAGCTCTATACATTTGGATGTGGTACAACAGGTCGTTTAGGTTTAGGTGATGAGTCACCACGTTTCAAACCAACAGTAGTATCATCATTAGTTGGGAAGCAAATTGTATCATGTGGAGCAGGTGTTATGCATAGTTCATGTGTCGATTCAACAGGTAAAATTTATTCATTTGGATGGAATCGTTATGGTCAATTGGGTACAGGTAGCGTTAAAAGTCACACATTACCAGCTAAAATGAAAGAAACTCAAATCACATCAAAAATGCATTTCGTTAAAGTAGTATGTGGTAAGAATCATACATTAGCATTGTCAAATAATGGTGAAATGGTTAGTTTTGGTTTTAATGCATGTGGTCAACTTGGTGTAGGAAGTCATTTAGATCAAATTAACCCAACAAAAATAGAGTTCTCTGAAAAGGTTTTGGATATTGCCACTGGTTACTATCATAGTTTGTGTGTCACCGATAATGGAGAAGCATATTCATGGGGTTATATGAGCGATGGTGGTTTGGGTCTTAGCGAAGTCTACACTCATCAAACCAAACCAAAATTAATACCATTGGTTCATATAAGACATACATTTTCAGACTCTAACGATGCATTCGATGAAATCTATGGCAAAGGTGATGAAAATACTACAGAAGAAACAATAGAGAATCATAAAAAATACATTCAAGACAAATACTCTACCGGTGATTTTGTCGAAAAAGTTGGTGCAGGTGCTTGGAACTCTGCTATTATTACATCGTCGGGTAAACTCTACACTTTTGGTTATGGTGACACTTTTAGAACTGGCAATCACGAAGAAAATGATCAAGATATTCCAATTATCATCGAACAAGACAAATGGGGTTTAGAAAGAAATTTTAATATAAAAGAAGATTTAGATATAGATTTAAATGAAATTATTGAACTCGAAAAAGAAAAAAGATTATTAAAACAAAAGAAAAAACAATTAAAATTAGAAAAGCAACAATTAAAAGAAAATCAAGATAAAAATGTAATAATAGAAAATGTAGAAAAAGATTTAAGTTCATTAAATATAAATAATAGCAATAATATAAATACTAATAATAATAATAATAATAATGATAATAATAACAATCATAGTGATAATAGTAATAATAGCTCACCAAATATAATAACAAATAAAATCAATATAAATAATATAAAGGTATATTCAAAAGTTACAAATATAGCTTTTGGAGGGGCTCATTCTATAGCAGTTGTTAGAAATTCATTAAAAAAATAAATTGATATATAATTTATATCAAAGTAAACCCAATTGTTTTTTTTTCATTTTTTTTATTTTTTTAAAAAAAACTCAATTCCTTTCATTAAATGTTTATTAAGAAAAAAATACTTTTGGTAGATTTACAAAAAACAAATAAAAAAAAATAATCTTTATCTATCTGTATTATAAATGTTAAAAATACAACATGCATGTAAGTAGTAAATAGTATATTTTATTTATTTCTATTTCCTTTTCTATTTAAGTTTTTTTTTATTTTTTTATTTTTTATTTTTTATTTTTTATTTTTTTTTTTACAAAATACCATTTTTTAACAAGTAGTAGTAGTTTTTCCAATTTTTTTTTTATACCAACTTTAGTTTGGTTTTTAGTAATACAAAATTCAAAATTTATAATCTCATTTAATTCTATCGAGATGGAATTACCCAGTTATTATAACAATCTTTGTTTATAAGGAATAATGTATCTTTTTTTTATAAAATAAAAAAAATAACAACAGTATACAGAATAAATATAAGTAATAAAATATACTTATATAATTAGGTTTTTTTTAATATCCATAATAGGTGTTTTTTTTATTTTCTTTTTTTTTCATATTATTTAAACATAATAATATGCATATTGTTAAGTATTTATTATAATCTCATCAAAAACACCCCAATAAATCACCAGCCCACTAACACACACAAAAAAAAAAAACAATATGTTTTAAAAATTGGTAATAAAAGAAAATAGAGTATATTGTGAGGGTGTTAAAATTTGATCTAATTTATATTTATTAGAGTGTTTAGTAATAAAATGGTATACTAACATAAATATTAAACATATTTAAATTTTGTTTTTAATAAATTTAATTTTTTTTTTTTTTTTTTTTTTTTTTAAAAAAGGTTTTTTTTTCCCTCTCCCTTTCCCTTTTTTACCCAGGGAATATAACCCCACTTATTTGTTTTTTTTTAAAAAAATTTTAATTTTTAACTAAACCCAAATTGCTATTGTTATTTTTTTATTTTTAAAAAATTTTTATTTTTAAA